GCTCCGCTGCGCTAATAACAGTGTAACATAGCTATTTATCTATTTAGTTCTCGTACCATAGCTAAATGAGTACTTACCACTTACTTAATGCTATGAATTCTTATTAAAAAATAACTAACGTATTTGTGGCTATTCTTCCCGCAGCTGCATGTAGTTTACGCTCAATGAACTGATGTGTAGTCATTGAACTACTGGTGTGGTTATTGATCTGGCCCCAGTTGTTCAAAAGCTGGATAGCGAGTGGATAGCGCTATCCACAAGATAAATCACTATCCAGTGGATAAGTATTACAAAAACCAATTGCGTTATCCACTGGATAGTGATTTATCCGATGGATAGCGCTATCCACCTTTTGAACAACTGGGGCCAGTTGTGTACTTATTGAACTGAAGTGTCGCTATTGAACTAACAAAAAGGAAAACTGTTATTTAGTTGAAGTTTTCTCCGGACCAAGTTGGCTCTACCCTTTCGGCGCTGACTCTCTTTCCAGGTCTGTTCACTGTGCCCCTGGTGAGATTGACAGACCTTCTGAGCGGACTAAAATTTTTTTAAAATAACATCAGTCTATGTTCCCGTCTATATTAGTGAGCTCACTAGAACTTAATAACAGTGTAACATAGCTATTTATCTATTTGGTTTTCGTACCATAGCTAAATGAGTATTTACCACTTACTTAATGCTATGCATTCTTATTAAAAAATAACTAACGTATTTGTGGCTATACGCTCAATGAATTGATGTGTAGTCATTGAACTACGGGTGTGGTTATTGATCTGTTGTGTACTTATTGAACTGCTGTGTCGTTATTGAACTAACAAAAAGAAAACTGACGCACGCTAAGCATGAACAAATTCTTAATTATAACATAGCTCACAAAAATGCTTGCTTTTTGATTAACTGCAAAATTCTCGTAACGCGCGACACAATAACAAACGGTTCTATTGGCTGATTACGAACACGCCACAATCGTCTAGTTTGTATGAAAATATTCTTTCTGCAAAAGTGAGAAAGAAAATTTGCTTCTTTATTCGTTAACGATCAATGGAAACAAAGCAGAAACAAAGGTAAAAGAGTCTTAAAGTTCACCTAAAGTTAAAACTAACATGTTCGTAAGAAGTCGTGGAGTATGGTTTGGATTTGCTGAAAAGATGTTTACGTTTTGCTGGGCGAAATCCAGAAAACATGTTTTTAGCGAAGACGACTGTTATCCTTTTTTAAACTTATATTCATTTACCGGCGAACATTGGCTGGTCATTACGGCTTCTTGAGAAGACCTGGCAGCAGTTGTTTTTGTGAGTAATAAATTTATGTCTTCTTGTGTACATTTGTGTTGTTATTGCGAGAGAAATTTTTCTGCTTCAGTCGGATTGTCCGGAGATAACAAAGTGCATAACAAATTTAAAAACAACAATAAAAACGGAAATTTGCCTTTAAATGTTGTTGATGACCAGTTGGTGTCTGTTCTGTTCCCAGTGAATGTCTTTCGGCCAAAATTTGCTGCAGCTGGTCTTCGACAAATTTGCTAAACGTGCAACTTGCGTGTTTTTTTTAATTCGGCTTTATTTTTGCTTCTTGTTGGATCAGGACCTAAAAGGTCAATGCCGATAGAAAAATTGGGCAGTTCTTCGCTGGTTTCTTCCATATTTTAAAGAGAAGGAAAAGTGCACTGCAGCTTAAAAGACGAGAACTTTCCAGCCAAGTAAAAAGAAATACTCACGTCATCTTATTTACGCACGGGCGTGCGTAAATAAAGATTTTGTTCATAGCGGCTTAATAGGACTTATATAGGGCAAGCACGCGCGCTATGTTATAAAACAATTTTATCACTAGTGATGAAAACGTGATGAAACACTAGGGATAAAAACGTGATAAAACACTAGTGATTTTCAACTGATGTTTCATTGAGTTTCAAAGTCATCCACCTGACTCGAATGGGGCGCTCTGGTTGGCTTACGTCATGAATTATTTAAGAATTTGTTCATGCTTAGCGTGCGTATATCGAGTTATGGATGCACGCGGGAAGTTTGGAGAGGACGAAAGATGCGTAAGAGTTGCACGAGGCGATAGCCGAGTGCAACTCTAGCTTCTTGAGTGCTCTCCAAACTTCCCAAGTGCATCCATAACTCGATATACGCACAGCTAAAAGCATGAGCAAATTCTTTTATAACATAGCTCACAAAAATGCTTGCTTTTTGATTAACTGCAAAATTCTCTTAACATGTGACACAATAACAAACGGTTCTATTGGCTGATTATGAACACGCCACAATCGTCTAGTTTGAATGAAAATATCCTTTCTGTAAAAGTGAGAAAGAAAATTTGCTTCTTTATTCGTTAACGATCAATGGAAACTAAGCAGAAACAAAGGTAAAAGAGTCTTAAAGTTCACCCAAAGTTAAAACTAACATGTTCATAAGAAGTCGTGGAGTATGATTTGGATTTGCTGAAAAGATGTTTACGTTTTGCTGGGCGAAATCCAGAAAACATGTTTTTAGTGAAGACGACTGTCATCCTTCTTTAAACTTATATTCATTTACGAACATTGGCTGGTCATTACGGCTTCTTGAGGAGACCTGGCAGCAGTTGTTTTTGTGAGTAATAAATTTATGTCTTCTTGTGTAATTTGTGTTGTTATTGCGATAGAAATTTTCCTGCTTCAGTCGGATTGTCCGGAGATAACAAAAGTGCATAACAAATTTAAAAACAGCAATAAAAACGGAAATTTTGCCTTTAAATGTTGTTGATGACCAGTTGGTGTCTGTTCTGTTCCCAGTGAATGTCTTTCGGCCAAAATTTGCTGCAGCTGGCCTTCGACAAATTTGCGAACGGCGCGCAACTTGCGAGATTTTTTATTTTAATTCGGCTTTATTTTTGCTGCTTGTTGGATCAGGACCTAAAAGGTCTATGCCGATAGAAAAATTGGGCAGTTCTTGGCTGGTTTCTTCCATATTCTAAAGAGAAGGAAAAGGGTACTACAGCTTAAAAGACGACAACTTTGCACCCAGGTAAAAAAAAAAATGCTCACGTCATCTTATTTACGCACGGGCGTGCGTAAATAAAGATTTTGTTCATAGCGGCTCAATAGGAGTTATATAGGGCAAGCACGCGCGCTATGTTATAATAATGAGTTTGAATTGAGAATGTTTATTAATCCACAGTCTGAGTACTATATTGTATCAAAACTGAATAATATATTCAATACCGCCCAGGGTAAAGGTATTTCCCTTTTCCACTGCAATATAAGAAGTTTAACGAAAAATCTGACCCTATCAAATGACGTGTTATGTTCCTTGGACCCAAGACCTGGCATTGTAGCTATAACAGAAACTAGACTGAGTTCCAATTCTTTCTCTAATCTTGATATACCTAAGTATATATTTTTTTCATCCTAATTCACCAATACGTGCAGGAGGTGCAGCTCTTTATGTTAACAAAGCCATTCCAAGACCTGATTTAAAGATAGATCCACCATTAGTTGAGTCCTGTTGGGTTGAAATTGACCCGAACAACAACAGAAAGCACATTATGATTGGCTATATCTACAAACACCCGCCTGCAAATGTGGAAGAATTTACGCTTACATTTGATGAATTCTAAAACAAATTTAATACAAGCAAATACGATATGTATATTATGGGTGATATTCATATTGACCTTTTAAAGTATCATTCACTCCAGCAAACAAAGATATACCTTGATATGATCTACTCCCTTGATCTTTTACCGTAATAACTAAACCTACTAGAATCACTAATCATACAGTGACACTGATAGATCTTATCTATACCAACGATGTTAACAGATTGACATCTGGGATTGTCACCGTTGATATCTCGGACCATTTGCCAGTCTTTTTTATGGTTGACACACCTCTCAAAAAGCAAAATAGACAAAATACGTATTTTAGAGCCTGTTTACATGAAGGTGGGGGACCCCAGGTAGGTGAGGTAACATGGGGCGGGTTACCCCACCTAACATGTAAACGTGATCACATTAAAATGAGAGAATATATGGACAGGAGGGTTACCCCACCTAAGCGGGTTACCTCACCTATCTGGGGTACCCCACCTCCATGTAAAACAGGCCCTTAGAGACTACAGTAAATTTAAAGGGACGCGATCACGGTTATGTGCATGCGCCGTTTGTCTCTTCAGAATAAATTTGTTGGGTCAACACTAAATTCGAAATCGTCATTACTGGTACAATAATTGAAAATGCTTCGTTTTATTCCGACATCCGTCGCTTTGGCTGGCCTAGTTATACTTCGGTAGTGGTGATTAACGTGTGGTTGTGTTGTTTGACTGGTTACGTTTTAAGAAGACGCAAAAAATAATGTTTTGATCATGGAGGTTCGGAAGAGCATCGTGGCCGTCCGGCAACAGGACGTTCTCAAGAGTCTTTGGAGATAGAGAAGCTTAGCTGATCGATCTGGTATGGTTCTAGGAGTAGTGTGTGGCTTACGAAAAGAGTACACGACAATTGGAAACTGGTTAAAGGCATGAGTTCGTTCAACTTTGATTTGATTTTGGTACACTTGAAATGTTCCTTGTATCTTTGCTTTACGATCGTATATGTTTAAGAATTGATGTTTCTAAAATAAATTATTGCCTGAATATTCTGTTTATAATCTAATTTCTTTATGTGTTCTACTCGATAACATTTGTTTTGCGGAACACTGACCCGATGCAACGCGAATGAATTTGTTCATTTGCTGATTAGCAATTGAAATTTATGCTCAATTAAGGATAATCCTTATACTCATACGTTGTGTGTTTTTGGTTTAAAAACAATCAGCTACTGTCAGAACTCACACATGCGCATTATCGTGAACCAGTCCCTTTAACAAAGAATCATACCTCCATGATATTCATACAATTGACTGGAATGCGATAACTGAACAATGCAGTGATTTGCATGAAGTAACAGCTCGCGCTATTGATGCAATTAAATTGATTGTTGAAAAACATGCACCATAAAGAAAACTGTCTTGGAATCAACAACTGATAAAGAGAAAAACAAAAAGCCAGACTACTCCCCTAAGAATAGCTAGGAATAACAAGATATATACCAATAATGAAGATATTGCAGATCAGTTTAATAAACATTTTATTAATGAAGGCCCAAACTTGGCCGGTAAAACTGACAAAAGCAATGAAAATCCTCACAATATATCTCGTCATCTTCAATTAAGAGGGGCACCTAACGAGAATATAGTTCAAAACCACTTAAACATAGGATTGTTAAACTTATTTTAGTATTTAAACGGTAGATTTAGGCATATTTTTATCCCCTAGAAATTTTTCGTCTGTTCGGATTTCCTAGCTGAAAGTCTAGTGATCCGAAAATTACAGGGACCAAAATTTACCTTTTCGAAAATTTCAGCCAGAAAAAAGGCTCCCGAAAATTCTAGGTGACCTTTTTAGGGTAAAAATTCGTTAAAAATGGGCAATAATACCATTTTTTAGATGTTCGAAAATCCTAGGAGAGGCAGGCAAGCAAGAAATGTTCCGAAAATTCTAGATCTCAAATCGTCTTCCGAACAGATATTTTCCGAAAATTGACGTTGGGTGCCCCTGAATTAACAGTTTTGTTATAGAAAATGTCACAGAAGCTCAGGTTTCTAACTTGTTCAAAAACCTAGAAACAAACAAATCATAAAGTGACATACCTAACGAACTAATAAAAATACCGGCTGAGCCATTATCTCAGTGCTCCATTCACGCAAATTTATAATCAATCGATTGAAACTGGTATAGTTCCAAATATATTAAAAGTTTCACTGGCTACTCCAGTGTACAAATTAAAAGTGGTGATGCAACTAACCCTACCAACTATAGGCCTATTTCAACTCTCTCATCTTTTCGCAAGGTTTTTGAAAAGTTAATTTATAACCAACTATACAACTTCCTTGAAAAATATAGCATTTTGTATAAGTATCAATTTGGATTTAGGAAGGGATACTCCATTGAGCAGGCCATCTTAGAAATTACTGACTCACTTAAGAAGGCTATGGATAAAAAATTGGTCACCTATGGTCTTTTTCTTGACTTTTCAAAGGAATTTGGCACAGTTCACCATGATATTGTGTTATCAAAACTCTATAGATATGCTATACGTGGAAATCCCGTCAGATGGTTTGAAAACTACTTATACAATCGTAATCAGGCTGTCAAAATTGGTGACACTATATCTAGCAGTCAGACATTATCTACGGTATACCTCAAGGGTCATCTTTGGGTCCATTGTTATTTCTGCTCAAAGTTCAAGCAAACTATCCTTCCTAATTTTTGCCGATGACACTAATATGTTTTATGCAGGTAATAATCTGCATAACCTTGAGTCCGTCATGAATGAAAAATTTAGGTCAGTAGTTAAGTACTGTGCCATTAACAAATTATTTATAAACTTTTCAAAAAAAATTACATCCTAGTCTCATCCTTAAGGTTAAGTGGAGGTAAAAATGTAAATAACATCAAGTTCAAAAGCCAAAAAAAGTATCTGGGTGTGTATACAGATCAACACGTACACTGGGGACCTCAGATTAAGCATATTAACAATAAATTAGCAAAAAATATATAGGAATTATTACCAAATTAAGATACCATGTAAATCTGCATACAATGAAACAACTGTATTACTCTTTCACCTATCCATATTTAACCTATGCTATCACTAGCTGGGAAAGTGCTTGCAAAACTAGGCTGAATAGGATCAGGACTAAGGAAAATAAATGCATTCGATTAATTTTCTTTGCACACAGTAGAGAGAATGCTACGTCTTACTATAATTTATTGGATATCCTCAAATTTGATAACATTCTCAAACTTAAAGTAGCACTCTTTGCGCATAACATCATTAACGATCCAACAGGCATCCCAACAATATTCTCGGGAACTCTACCTCTAGCTTCCGACTGCCGTATTCATTAATTATAATAGATTTGTTTTTAACCTTAACTTCCATAGGCCACAAATAAATAATAACTATGGAGCTTCTACTTTTTCTTTCATTGCGTCGAAAATATGGGAGACTATTCCACTGGAGTTTAAAAAACTATGTTACTACCGCTTCCCTAAACACTTCAAGTTATATCTGCTTAATTCGCAATCTTTTTTTGCTGGAACATATACTGATTTAACTTACTTTAGTTTAACGACTTTTAGCCAGGTTTTGTTGCTTTGTTTTTCGTTGCTTTGTTCTTTGTTTTATTTTTATTTTTTGTTTAATACACGTCAATATTGTTACTTTAGCACCTTTTCTCTCTTTGTATAATTATTTTTCACTACGCTTATTGTGTATGTCAGCTAGCTTAACGTGGCAGTGACCAACCCGGAAGCATTAGCTACTTTGGTCACTGCGCACGTCTTTATCCTTTAATTTCTTGTTATCTTTCTTTCTGACATTGTTCCGTAAGGTACTTATACAAATTAAAATTCCAATGTAAACAATATCTAAATAGTGCGAAAACAATAAAATCTGTAAAAATTTGTAAATGGCTCAACTCCGACTAATTTTAGCATTGTTTGGATTTTTGCATTTAGAAAAGAACTTTGATTTTTATGAGACTAGCTACTGTGCAACTACATAGATTTAACCTCATCCCGTGTAGACTTTGTTATCTAGCGGTAACTTTTGAACGCTTCCTGTTACACTATCTACCGGCCTTGTTTAACTACGTACAGAACTGTTCTATGCGAGAACTCGTTATACTACTCGTTATTTATTAAATAAAGCTGTTGTTGTTGTTGATGATGATGATCTTTGTTCTAGTATTTAACCGAAAGTTGTTGCGTTGTGTCGTTTCGCCCCAAGTTAATACAAGACATTTTTGGATTCTGGATTCTACGCTATGGGATCTGGACTCTAGGTACTGGATCCTGGATTCCTTATCAGTGAGACTTGGATTCCGGATTCCAATTATTAGTGGGATTCCCGATTCTTTGAGCTGGATTCCTGAGAGTCGTTACCTCTTCCCAGGAGACAAAATGGCAATTGACCCACATCTCCCCAATGGAGGAGTACCAATTCATGCTTCCAATGTTTGGTTTCTGGCGCCACTGTCCGGGATCCGGTTGTAAGTGTGAATGAGGGCGGCGCTCATCTACGTTTTGTTTGTAATGCGGTTCGTCTCGTTATGTAAGGAAATTCATGAAATGTTGACTCGCCCATGGTAAGTCAGCGGTTAGGTCGGTAACCCCTCAACCCGGGAAAGCACATAAACAGGGCCAATGACAACAATACAAAAGATATGGAATGTGAGTCTTGCTGGGTGAATAATGGACAGTATTCATTAGCGCAGCCCTTTCTCTCTCCAGTTTCCTCTCATTTTCGTGTTAGCACTTTCTCAATTTTGAGAACACGACGAACTCGGAGCCTTGAACAGTCTATGGGTGCATGAATTAGCAAACATTAAGACAAAATGACAAATGAACTACGAGACGGAGCAAATGCAAAAGAAAAAGGATAAGACTAACAGAAACAAATAACTCTAAGAGAAAACGCGGGGGAAGCAATGCACAGCGGAATTTCCAGGTGCTTGAATATTGTTTCTTTAACATTTTCCTTATTTCTTTACTTAATCAGAATAATGATGTGAAGTATATATGAAATATTTCATTTTTTTTTTTTTTGAACTGCGGTTGTAGATGAAAGTGAAGAATGATCATCGCAGTAAATTTTCCAATTTAAGCAATTGGAAAGAAGAAGCCTGAAAAAATCAGGGCTTCAACGAGATTCGAACCCGTGACCTCCGCGTCACCGGTGCGTTGCTCTATCAACTGGGCTATGAAGCCACACATTGGGAGCGAGGTCAATTTATTGAGTTCATATCTCCCGTGAGGAGTGAAATGATGTGAAGTATATATGAAATATTTCATTTTTTTTTTTTTGGAACTGCGGTTGTAGATGAAAGTGAAGAATGATCATCGCAGTAAATTTTCCAATTTAAGCAATTGGAAAGAAGAAGCCTGAAAAAAATCAGGGCTTCAACGAGATTCGAACCCGTGACCTCCGCGTCACCGGTGCGTTGCTCTATCAACTGAGCTATGAAGCCACACATTGGGAGCGAGGTCAATTTATTTTCAAAAAAAAAAAAACAAAACAAAACCCCAGGCTGCACATTGCTGTCAATCCCAAGGCAGAACCTAAGAAAGGCGCAATAAAAATATCTCGAAATAAAACACTGCAATCTTTTATAAACGTTGCTGCATCACCAAAGATACATGTTCCTGTTACAGCTGCAATTATACATTTTAACCTTAATCCGTGTTACACTGCGTAGAATACATAAACCTTTAGGAGAAAGTGCACATTTTGTAAGTCTAAATATACCGTTCTTAGTAAAGGGTACAAAGAACGTCAGTTTTATAAGTTTACAGTGATTGTAGCGAATGAGCCATACACTAATCAATTGTACTTGAAAAAATCGACTTGGTTTCTCTTTATTTCCGTTTACTTTGATACCACAGTATTTTAAGAGGTTCAATTGATCAAAAACACGCTAAAACAAACGAAATTTGAAGACAAAACAGTGAAATCCACTCAGCCTTCGCTTGTTCTCATTGGCCTCCATGACTTCCTGATCTTTTCAAACCGTATGGCGCATACGTGAAGCGTGGAAGCGGGAAACATATGTTCGGTCTCAGTCTTTTTCGTCCGAGTCGGCAGTCAAATATCTCCACGTCGGGCGAAGAAAGATTCAAATATCCCCTCCCCCCGGAGAACAAGATCAGTCAAATGCCCTACCCCAGGGACAACAAGGACAATCAAATCCCCACCCCATGCCCCGCCCCTCACCCCCCCGCCGGCTTTACATTGATAGGTGCATTAGTCTATCCACCAGTGGGTGCTGTCCCACAACTCATTTCGGCTCTGCTGCTAATGCTTCCGGCTGAAATCGAAAGTGTTTCTGTCGCGTCGAGGAACTTTCCCACATTCTTCGTTCGTTGCAGTTGGTTTTGCTCCATTTTATTGAAGATTTCCTGCATTGTAAGGTAAGATCTTTCTTTTAGATAGCTCTAGCCGTGTAAGGTAAATTTACAATCTTGCCTAACAACACAAAATTACAAGTACGAAACATACTCAATGATGCATTCATCAGTGACTCAGGCAAGTACTAGTAGCAGTTCTTTCCTCGTTGATCTGACTCGTGCATGCATCTAAAGAAGAAAACCACTAAGAAAAACATGTGTATACTCGGCAAGATTATTCAGTAGGAGCGTGGTAGTCTCCCTTAGTCTATCGAGGCGAAAAATTTGGATAATACATTGTTCGAGGTTGCTAAATAAGCTTATAATTTTGTGCTGAACGTTTGGGCCATTTGATTGTACTACAGTTATTAAAGCATTCCACCTTCCAACCGAGAGGGAATGCCCAAAACACTCTTGCACTGAAACCTTTTATTTTCGTACTTTTATTATGGTACTTTAATAACTGTGGCAATTACAACCATTTTGGGATTAAATTAGTGATGAGTCATTCATGGCTTCCGGCTTGGGGTAAACCAAGGAATCCCTGGGCCAAGTTGTTCAAAGCTGGGTTAAGATAACCCAGGGTTAGTGTGTGATTTGAATTCAGATTTGAAAGCTTAAAAAGCATTTCAGTTTTATTCTGTTTGTCTACAAGTTGATGATTGGAAGAAATAGCACAGAAAATTATCAGAGAAAATGCAGTTGAACACAAGAAAAAGAAACCCGGGTTAAGCGCTAATCGGCCTCTGAACAACTGGGCCCTGTTGTATAATTTAAAGCCCAATTTACGTGACAAACTCTTATGGCACTCTTTTACATAGCCTGAGTAAACAGTCAACATTTCATGGTGCCACCAGTGGTTTACTCACTAAGTGAAGTCTGAGAAACGAGTGCAGAAATTCCATACTGATGACATGTCATGACGCATCACTACCCAGATCTGAGTAGTATGTCTGATAGGCTGAAAATGTGCTTCAACCAATCAGCAACACTCAGGGTGCAAAGAAAATCATTTTTACAGCTTGTCATTCGGGCAAGCTGAAGCTAGCATTTACTAGCCCAGACGTCATTTCAACTAGCCCCAAAAACGTTTTGTTCTTCTGTTATTCAAATTCCTCATAAAACATCACTTGCCTGTCGGGCAAGTTAAAAACACAATTCACTGCCCGATAGCAAAATCCACTAGCCCCGGGCTATCGGACAGTACTTTCTTTGCACGCTGAACACTTTTAGGCTTATTATTGGAGGATCAGGTCACAGATACCAAAATAAAAGATCTGCATTTAATCCTAGGTTAAGTTTTAATAGAAGCTACCACACTGTTAGAGAGCCAGTTGGCTCTACGTGTACATGTAGAAATATTTTAAACAACATTGCAGTGATCATTCGTTCAGTTTTTATCTCGGAACTATGGAGTTTGTTGCTTCCCTTGGTAATTTTGCTTGACTTTCCAGTGACTATATGTCTCTTTTATCCTTTTGCTCTTGAATTTAATTACTAGTACATTCCACAATCAATCTAAAAACAGGGGACAAAATAGCTCCTATTAAAAGTACAACACAAGCTGATATATTTTTCCATTCTACTTGTTGTTCTACAGTTTTTTTATCATCAGTGACTATGAAATACATTATACAGTGGAACCTCGATATAACAAACGGTCAAGGGATTGGCACTTTTTGTTCGCTATAACAAGGTTTTGTTATATCGAGGTTCTTTTCCATATATTTTACTATTACTGGGGTAAAGAAAATCGTTCGTTATATCGAGGACTTTGTTGTATAGAGGTTCGTTATATCGAGGTTCCACTTTACAAAGCTATTCTATTCCAATTTCTGGACTGTTTCTCATTTGTTTTCTTTAAGAAAGACTCTCCTTTACATCCCAGACTCAATAAATTTCCGGGTTGAATTGACTGTAAAGCAACTTACAAAGCAAAGGGGGCTGCAAGCACGCTTAAA